TTTCTATTTATAGTAGAGACGGGGTCTCGCTCTTGCTCAGGCTGGTTTTGAACTCCCGACCTCGAGCAATCCGCCCGCCTCGGCCTCCCAGAGAGCTAGGATTACAGGCGTGAGCCACCGCGCCCGGCCTTAATTTCTTTCTATTTATAGTAGAGACAGGGTCTCACTCTTGCTCAGGCTGGTTTCGAACTCCTGACCTTGAGCAATCCTCCTGCCTCAGCCTCCCAGAGTGCTAGGATTACAGGCGTGAGCCACTGCGCCCGGCCATGATGTGACGTTTTAACCCAGTGGTCTGAACCTTGCTATCATAGTAGGTTCTTTTTTTTTGTTTTTGAGACAAGAGCCTCGCTTTGTTGCCCAGGCTAGAGTGGGTGCCCGTGGCGTCAGCCTAGCTCACAGCAACCTCAAACTCCTGGGCTTAAGCAATCCTCCTGCCTCAGCCTCCCGAGTAGCTGGGACTATAGGCATGTGCCACCATGCTCGGCTGATTTTTTCTATATATATTAGTTGGCCAATTAATTTTTTTCTACTTGTAGTAGAGACGGGGATCTCGCTCTTGCTCAGGCTGGTTTCGAACTCCTGACCTTGAGCAATCTGCCCGCCTCGGCCTCCCAGAGTGCTAGGATTATAGGTGTGAGCCACCGTGCCCAGCCCATAGTAGGTTCTATGTGTGTTATTTTGATAACATTGGTTCTTTATGCTTATTTAGGTTTTCCCACCTAGATTATAAGCAACTTAAGTACAGAAACCACAGCTTTTGTGTAGTTGTGGTTCTGCCATTGGAATTCGAAGCTATATGCAGGCAGAAACCATAGCTTCTCTTGCCCTTGTATCCATGACATGGGCCTGGAACAGAGTTAGGCACACAGCCAGTTCCATCAATGCTTTTGCTTGACTGATGGACTCACCTGGCTCACTGAGGATTTATTTATGGTCAGAATCCAAATGGGGGGCCAGGTGCAGTGGCTCATGCCTGGAATCCAACACTTTGGGAGGCTAAGGTGGGAGGATCACTTAAGGCCAGGAGTTTGAGGCCAGCCTGGGCACCATAGTGAAACCCCATCTGCACAAAAAATTTAAAAATCAGCCAGGTTTGGTATGCGCCTGTAGTCCCAGCTACTCGGAGCTGAGGTGGGAGGATTGCTTGAGGCCATGAGTTTGAGGTGGCAGTGAGTTATGATTGTGCCACTATACTCCAGCCTGGGCAATGGAACGAGACCCTATCTCATACACACAAAAAAATTCTATATGGGGGATTTGACAGTGCTAGTCTGGCCCAGGAAGATTGACATGGCTTTAGAATTTTCCATTTCTTGGATTAACCTTTCTGAACTGTACTTATAGGAAATAAAATAAAAGGACATTTTAAAAGTCCCATGTATTAATAGTGTGTGTAGACCGTTCTAGGTATGTGCCCAGTTACAGAAAGGGAATAGGGGCTACAGTCTTTCTTAGCGTTAACCAGGTCTGAATGGGCCAGGGTCAGCAGAGCAGCATGCTTGCCGTGTAGACCATGGAGTGAGGACAGTGCAGAGGAAGCTCTGGCCCACAGTCACCTGATTCCTAAGATACCTGTGGAGAAAGACATGTGCAGGAACTTCACATTGAACACATCTTGGGAAACATTTCTGGGAAATGTTTTGCTCTTTGATACCCTTAGCATATTACTGTAGAGTAAGAAAACAGATCTATATTTTTTCATCTTCCATTAAAACTTGAATTCTGGAGTAAAGCTGTTTTTATCAGATTTAAGTTTATTTAGATTTATATTATTGGAGTTATCTTTTAAAAATCAAATCTGATCATTATTTTTCATTTTAGGTGATATGTCAGTTGAAAGGGGGCACACAAATGCTGTGTATAGACAATTCTGGCACAAGAGAACTAAAAGCACTTCATTTGGTTCCTCAGTATCAAGACCAAAACAATTATCTACAGTCAGGTACAAAATAAATTAATAAAACAATTATGTCATATATCATGTAAGTTGGTAAGTAATGTTTGGCTTATATATAGAATAAAAGTGAAATAGGTTATTAAGTAAGCTATTTGGCAAACCTCTTAGCCCATATTAATGAGGTAAGAATAGAATAAAATATATCTTTATAGACTAATTTATATGCCTTATATTGACTGTCTCAAATTCTTAGATAGCTCTCCTTCACGTCAGCTGGCTGCAGAAAGCTTTGTGATCCTCACCAACACTGTTAATAATTCCACAAGTGGGCCGGTAGCGGTGGCTCACGCCTGTAATCCTAGCACTCTGGGAGGCCGAGGTGGGCAGATTGCTCAAGGTCAGGAGTTCGAAACCAGCCTGAGCAAGAGCAAGACCCCGTCTCTACTATAAATAGAAAAACATTAATTGGCCAACTAATATATATAGAAAAAAATTAGCTGGGCATGGTGGCGCATGCTTATAGTCCCAGCTACTTGGGAGGCTGAGCAGAAGGATTGCTTGAGCCCAGGAGTTTGAGGTTGCTGTGAGCTAGGCTGACACCACGGCACTCACTCTAGCCTGAGCAACAAAGTGAGACTCTGTCTAAAAAAAAAATAATAATTCCACAAGTGGATGTGCCTAGATGTGCCCAGGTTGAAACATTAGCCTTTCCCAGATTGGCTGGCGGGTTGACTGTTCAGGTGTGGTGTAAATGATCTACATGTTAATGTAATCAATCACTATTACTAGAGAACTGTCACTCTGCTTAAATCACCATGAGTTCTAAAATAACCATCAAATGCTTTATCCGACATTCATTCACTAAAAACTTCTTTAAACTGTCACAGTAATAATAAATTTTACCTATAAGTACTTGATTATTCTGAAATACTTTAGGAATGATTGAAGAAAGATTAAATGACATATTTTAGGATTGTGTTTAACAAAAGTTAGATACTGATTTTTGAAAACTGGGCATGTCTGTGTGGACTGTACATAATCACATTACTCTAGATCTTGAGTTAACCAGAATATTTCATTATCAGATGACTCGCTGACATTGCCAAAAATTTAAAACCAATATTAAATCCAGATGTAGTTTTATTGACCTTTGGAGTCCAGGGCCAAAAGACAACCTGTGACTCCTTATCTCGCCACTCCATCCTGATCGTCTCCTTATCCAGGGACAGAGAAAATATATTCAATTTACATTTACATTTGCTTTTCCGCTTTGAAGAAGCTGGAGTTGGGGCTTTGGCCTTTGCTACAGACCAGCCATGGATTTTATAGTTCCGTTCCCTGTAGGTCAGTGTTGCGTCTGTGATCTCTGTGGGCAGGGAGATGTTCTTCTCTACTTTGTTTCCTCCTGGCACATACCAAATCCTAGTGCCTTAAGATGCTCAGAAGGAGAGGGTTTATACAATGTTTTTCAATTCGGTTTCCTCGTCACGTAATCATACCCCTAGTCTCCTTTGTTATGCTCTGTACATACTAGACATCACCATACATAAATGTGTCTTGTTGCCTAAATCTAGGTTTCCTCACTCAAAGGTTGCATAAATGCAGAGAAGGACACATGGTCAGCTGGTGGGTGCTGTAGGAGAGTAAGACACATTTCTCTCTCTGCCTAGACTCATGAGCATGGAGGTTCACCAAGGAGCACCCTTGGTGTCTCAAGAATGGTTTTCATGACACTCACAGGCCAAAGAAATGCGTATCAGTTCCAGTATTAAGTAGTTTTGTTTGGATAGCTTAATAAGTATTTATATCCTAACAACTTAGTAACCATTCAAAAAAAAGAATACACATTAATTGAAAGAAGTTCATGTGGTATCCAACAGATGTCACTGAGTTTTCTTTGAAAATATAAAACAGCCAGGTACCCACTACAAGCCTGTAGTCACTGCTACTTGGGAGGCTGAGGTGGGAGAATGGCTTGAGCCCAGGAGTTCAAGGCCAGCCTGGTCAACATAGCAAGACCCATTTCTAAAAAAATTAGTTTGCTGTGGCACCACTGAGTACCTTGACACAGTTTGGGAACCTGGGCACTAACAGCAATTTTTAGCATAGTAGACTATCCCTGGAGGCTCAGGTCAAGTAGCTTTATGACAAAAAAAAAAAAAAAAAAAGTAAGTATTAATAAAATATACTGACCTGAAAGGTTTTATAGAATTAAAAACATAGCTAGGATCAAGATAAGTTTCAATAACTTTGCATGTGATAAATCCATAATACATTTTTAGTTTTGTACTTTCTTCCAGGTATAAGTGGGAAAGGAACAATATATGCTATCAATTAATTTTAATTATCTTCCTTACAGATGTCCCTAAACCAATGACTACTTTAGTAGGAAGATTTTTGCCAGTACCAGCAAAATTAAACCTCATAACACAACAAGTGAGTCATTGTTTTAATAAAAAAAATACAATTGGGCATTATTATCTCTTGAAATTTTAATTGTTGCAGTTGGAATTACTAATTTATCCTTCATTTGAAAACCAACAGTGAAACATTTAGCAAGTATGCAGTCCTTCACCGTGTTAGACACTGGAGGGATGGAGTCCGTCCTAGACATATTTCTTTGCCAACCGTGAGAAACCATTTTGCCTTTCCTGCAGCCTCCAGACCGGCATTCTGCCCATTTGCTGAGCTTGTCCTTTGCAGCCCTGCCGTCAGCGCATACCACCTACCTGGTCCAGAACGTCCCTCAACTTCCTCAGTGTTATGGAAACGCCGTTTGAAAGTTTGATTTTATGATTACACCATAACAGGCATATATCACATATAAGTAGAAGACAAATATGCTCTTTTTCCCAAGTCTTGCTATAAAGTGTCACCTCCCCAGAAGAACCTTCCCTAACTCCCCAGTGTAGACAGCCAGTCACTATCTCAGCACTTGTCTCCCTCTCTGCACAACACTATCACTGTCTTATGTTTATTGAGTGGTTGGTTTGTCTGCATCCACCCGTGGGAATGCAAGCTCCACAGGGACAGAGGCCAGGTGTGTCTGTAAAGAGAACTGGAACAAAGCTTGGCACGTGCAGGGCACTCAATCCCCCATCAACAGGGCAGGGGCTCTTCTGAGCACTTGGGTTACATCAGTGAGCTAAGTGAAGCCCGGAAAACAAAAGACACAACACTACCCTCCTGCAACTTATATTTTAGTGCAAGAGACAATTAGCAAGTCTAGTAAGTCAATTGTATCCTATGTTGGGAGAGCAGAGGAGGGGGATTGGGATGATGGGAGTTTGGTGGGGAAGAAAGCAGTTTTCATGTTGAAACAGGGTGGTCACAGCTTCATTGAGAAGGTGACATTTGAGCAAAATCTTGAAAGAGATGAGGGAATGAGCCATGTGATTATCATGTGGAAGAACATTCTAGGCAGAGGAAGTAGCACAGGCCTCAGTAGGGTCATGCCTGCTGTGGTGGCAGCGAGGAGGCCAGTGAGGCTGGGATGGAGTGAGCCAGGAGAGGGTAGTAAAGGAGGAAGTCAAAGACAGTGGTAGGATCCACTTGCAAAGGGACTGGTTGGTGGGGAGGTGGGGGCGAGGTGAAAGCAGGCAAGCCTGATACTGCAGTAATCTCACTGAGAACTGATGCTGCCTCAGACCAGGCGGTAGCAGTGCAGGTGGCAGCGAGCAGCTTCTCAGGGTACGCTGAAGGTTGAGCCAACAGGATTTGTTGATGGATTGGATGTGGGAAAGAGATGTCAAGGATGCCCCCAAGTTTTTCAGTAGGAATAAATGGAAAGGTGGAGTTTCCATCCACACAGATGAGACAGTGCAGGTTTTGTGAAGGGGTCCAGGAGTTCCATTTGGACATATTAAATCTGAGATGTCTTGGACATGCAGATGGAGATGTGTAGGAGTGCAGAAAGGGAAGATGTGGGCTGGAGAGGTGAGGCTAGGAGTCCCCAGTGCAGAGCTGGCTTAAAGCCAGGTGAATAGATGAGGACTCTGAGGGAGTAAGTGTAAATAGAATTAAATATTTGTTGAATGAGTAAATTAAAGATTTCTCAAATAATATATTGGCCAGGAGAAAAGAGTGGTAAGCAGTGTGGTAGATGAACGAGTCTGAGCTGTGATGTGAGCACCTGGCGTGGAACCAGTGTTGGGACTGAATGGAAACCTCTGCCCCTGCTCTTCCTCACCACTGGCATTCTTCACTGTTCCAGCCACCTGTCGGGAAGGCACACGTGGCACTTACTCCTCCACCTCTAGGACCTTGCACTAGAAACACCTGATTGACCACAACCTCTTGTCTTTCCACCACCTCCCCGTCTTTCCTTGACTATCACTCTCCCCATTTTGGCTCCCCCAACTTCTTATCCAGTGTGGACCTCAGGGACGATCCTTGCAGCACAGTATTTGCTGCATCCCTTGAGGCTCTGTTTCCTAGGCAGACCCCCAATTCTGTCTACTCATTAGCACCTCGCCACTCAAAGTGGGCGCACGCACTAGGAGCATCCACGTTATCGGGAGCTGGTAAGAAACACAGAACCTCGGGTCCCACCCCAGCCCTGAGATTCAGACCCACAGAATCAGAATCTGCCCACTTCAGAGTTTATTATTTCTTTACTTCTGGGTGGCCACGCTTTGCTAAAGAAAACTCACGGATTCTAGCATAAAGTTGCCCTAGATTTATGACCTATGCAGTACTCAAAAGGCATCTCTTTTTCTCTGCTTTAAATAAGGAAAGGCGGGGGCAGGGCAGTAATTTTACCTGGTTTATGCAAATAATTGCCTCAACCCTGAGAACTATGAGATCCCTTCTCCAAGAGAATGCAGAATTCTTCAGACTGCCGCTTGGAGACATAGGCCTAGCAATTAGATGCCTGGGGGACTGCGAAAAAGACACCAGTCTCCGTACCTTGTGAACATCCCGCCGCACTCATTGAGAGAGTGAGGGGGAGCACTTGGGAGTGGTCCTGGGTGAGAAACTCCGGGGACTCAGGACTCTGACTTGTTCATAAGTGAGTTGGACCCAGGTCGGTTTCTCAATGTCTTCCAGCCCTAACAGGTGGGGATTGCACACAAGTTAAACAGAGGGCAGAAGAGAGAAAGTGAGGACAATGAATAAAATGTGTGTGTTTTTTCTAAGACTATACTTCTTAAATAAAGCTTATTATTGAATTTCCAATTTTGGAGGGCGGAGAAGGCAAGGATAGGATGTTTAACTGTGATACCTGCAAATCTCAAAACTTAATTTTATCCAATACTTTTAACTTCTTCAAGCTAATGACAAAGGAAAAAACAAGAACTGAGAGAGCAAAGGACATGGCTAATGCAGAGATTATAACATTGCTTTTGAATTTGTTCAAAACTGATTACAAAATATTTTTTTGAATAGATGAAAAATAGTAGTTTCCAGTGAGACTTCAAGTGTCAAGATCTCTTATGTTAAACTAAGAATAATAAGAACATTTTTAGTTTATGGAAATTTGTAATTGAATTTGTTTCACAATTGGTAGTTCATTAAATGAAAGTGTTCCATTACAATATCCCCGGGCAGCTGACCGACAGCCGTGTGTACTGCTTGCTGGCTTGTGGCTAGGGGCCTTGCATCCCCCTCACGCTTCCGTCTTTGCCCCCATGGTCTGGGGCTTCGGCACGCCCAGGACATCCTGTGGCCAGGCAGGTCTGTAAGATGATCTGGATCTAGAGCCTGCTCAACTGTTAGTAGATTCATTGTTGTAACAAGCCTGGACATGGCTGTCAAGGAATTGTGATGTAAACCACTAGAAGAAAAAGAGTCATTTTTATGTGTACCTAGGGGCTGGTGGGCTGGAACTTTTAAAACACATGCTAGGCCAGGCACGGTGGCTCATGCCTGTAATCCTAACACTCTGGGAGGCCGAGGCGGGCGGATTGCTCGAGGTAAGGAGTTCGAAACCAGCCTGAGCAAGAATGAGACCCCGTCTCTACTAAAAAAAAAATAGAAATTAATTGACCAACTAAAAATATGTATATAAAAAAGAAAAACAAAAACACATGCTGATTCAAAATATTCTTGCTTTTGGCTTTGTACAGCTTGATAATGGAGCCTTACCATCGGTAGTCAACGGATCGGCTTTCCCCCCGGGATCAACTCTTCCAGGACCGCCGAAAATAACTTTGGCTGGGTAAGGATTAAAAGCAATAAATTGCTACTTACTTTAACATAAGAGTTTAAGAGGCTTTTGGATACAACTGTGATTTTCTTTTGTTATAATATTAGTTTTACCTGCAAACCTTCATGACTTTTGAAAAATTATTTTTTACCTTAAGCAATGCCACTAACACTTGCCATACGTGTCCGGTTTTATTGTTGCTGGAAAGGCTGATCTGTAGTCTCCATTCTACTACCTGCTGTCCTGTGTCAGTAGCAGAGGCTTGTTGCCATTTATAGCTCGGTCTTGGTTTCTCATTGATTCAAACTGTGCTGTCATCAATATAAGTAATGAAGTGGCAGCCACTTAACGTTGACGGAGGTCTGCAGAGGGCCCTGTGAGCTGCCCCTGCCTACTGCCTCCCGTGCTAAGTCAGCTCCTGCTGTATGGCAGGTGCTCGTGAGTGAGTGTAGACTCACAATCTCCAAGTGGACGTGGGCTGCACTGGGACTTTGTCTTGTGATTTTAAAGTTGTGTTTATAATTGTAACTAATTGTAAACTAACCAAGCTGGTTGAAACTCTGCCATGTTAACACTGGTATACTAATGGTGGTCTGGGCAACTCTGTTCATTGAGCCCTGGAGTTGATTATGGATATCAGTCTGTTCCTGTCTCCAAGGGTTTTTCGGCCCACAATCTCATGCCTGAAAGACAGCAGGTAAAGCACTTCAGAAAAGTGGACTGCGGCCTCTGTGCTTGGCAGCCTGCTGCAGTGCTCTGCTGTGGGACAGGGCTTCCTGGTGGCCTTGGTAAGGGACAGGAGAGTGGTTTGGGGCAGGAATGAAGGCTGTGAGGTGAACCACTGGGAAGGGCTGTGGAGACACACTAGGATTGGATCAGCACTTTCGCCTCGGCACTGTCGCTGGAGGGTGGTAGTTGCTCACGTGATTTGCTGCTTTGGTTTTAGCAGCTGCTCTTTGAGCTGGTTGTAATACTGTGCCAGGTCAGCCGGTGACTTTCAGTTAATTTGGTGGAAGAAGACTGGGAGGAGCCAGTTCCCTTGCCTCACTGTCCTTGGGGGATGGATCGGTGAGGATGCAGCTAGTGTGAGTGTAATTGGTCATCTCATCCAGGCTGCCCACATTTCTGGACAAAACAAAAATGACTTAAGTAACTTCCGACTCTGCTGATAGCATCGCATCTTTGGTTACACAGGATGATATAAAATGTTACGATCCTGAAGATACTCACTTTATCTTTCTTGTAATCTGGGGGCTTCTGGTCAACAGTTCTGCATTGCTGGGTGCTTTATCGTACCTAGGACATTCGAGGGGATTTGACTTTCCCAGTACTTCAGGGACGTGCTCTCACAGTTACATTGCCACGGGAGGCTCCGCGTGGTCCAGCTGATGGACATTGCCCCCCAGGAGCAGTAATGAGGGCGTCTGCACTGCGGCGTATTTTTTCTTTTCCTTCTTTCCCCCTCCTCCTCCCCTCTTCCTCACCTCCTCCTCCTTCCCAGTCCATACTAGATTTTTCTCAGTCACATAGTTTTCTTTATTTTGAAGTAATTATGCAGGTTAAAAAAGAGTTCTATTATAAATGATGTGCCAGAAACAACATGAGCTTTGTGCTTGTATTTTTTGATGCAATTAATTACTTGATTTGATTTTGCCCCACTGAAGTGGCCCCATAATTTTCATCTCAACATCCATAGGACTGATGGTATACTGGAATCTACCAGTTTAGTTTTGTAGTAAGGGAGCATTCAGAGAACTGTTTCTGGTGGTTTCACTCTGCATGAGTTCCCAACTGAGAGTGTTCCCTTTTCACCTCTTAGAAAAGAAACTCTGTCGGCCCAGCATGGTTCAAAATACCTAACCTAGCAGAGACACAGCAGCAGGCCACGTGGGCCTCAAGGCTGGCAGTCCGCACGCATGAATTGGCCCAGTCATCATTCTTTATGGAGTTGGGTGGTGAACTGGCTAACTTATTAACTAGCTCATCATATTAATAAAAACCCTTTTAATAAAAGCTCATGTCCTGTCACTCTGTATAGCTTTAATAATCCGATTATCAATCAGTTAATTAATTTGAATTCTGATACATTGTTGATACTATTGTTTTTGGTAACATAATGAACATCATAATTTAAGGCTGGGCGCAGTGGCCCACACCTTTAATCCCAGCACTCTGAGAGGCTGAGGTGGGAAGCTTGCTTGAGACTAGGAGTTCATAATAAAGAATATTGAAGATTCTGTTTCTCTGGAAAATTTTTTTCTTAAAGATGAGGTTTATCTCATTGTGGTATATAATTTATTTATAATGCTTTCCTGAGGCAGAGTGGTCCAGATCTCTTCTAAATCTTCTAACTCTTTAATTCTTAGATTGGCACCAAGAGAATAGTCAAATACATCTGTAGCCGGGGAAGCTTTTTTCCCATTTAGTTGTGCTGCAGTCAGCTGGTCCCTCTCTATCCTTCACGCACTCTGCTCATTCCTACTGCAGTGTCTTTGCTCATGCTGTTATTTCAACTAAACATCCTTTTGACCAATAACAAAGAAACTTTACAACCTTAAAAGTTGATGTCAAGTTCTACTTCCTTCGAAAGTATTTTGTTTTAACTTCTTTCATCTGTATTGAACTATCCTGTCTCTGAATTTTTGTAGCATTAACAATCAGTATAAAAGCAATTTGACCGTTGATTATATACTAATCTTATGTTCTCTAATTTTTCAATTGTATATGTTTCATGTCCCCAGTTAGTTGGTGGATTCCTCCAGGACAGGCAGCATAAATTAAAAAGATAGTGACTTTTGGTGTCCTCTGAAGCACTTATCACTCCTGGCCAGCTCCGGACAGGGTGTGTCAGGCCACCTTGGGCCCCAGTTCAGGGAAGGTTTGAGAGGGCAAGAGCAGTTAAGTAGGTGTCAGAGCCCCTCCCCTGGACAGGCCCAGGTCTGACCCACCGGTAGAGAGATCGGGGGTGGGATAGCTAGACCTGCCACCTCCAGACACCCATGAAGGCAGAAAGCTGCAACTTTCCTATCTATGACGGAGAAACCAAACTATATGAATACTAAATTAATACTGTACTCAGTGACATAGTTTGGGGACATTATCTTAAAAATGGGAGAAATCTCAGAAGAAGTAACAATTAGCAGCTTGTCCATGTGTCCAGGCACCATGAGCTGTTTTCATTGAGGGGTGGGGATGAGTCCCTGAGCAGAAGCACAGATGGTGAGAACAGTGGTGGAAGAGCAACCGCTCAAGCACAGTGGAGCCCACGCCAGAGCAGAGAGGAGGGCAGGCCGAGCTAAGATGATTTAGGACTGGCGTCACTCCAGACAGTTAGCTGAGACAGCCGAGCACATGGGGGCACAGAGCACAGGGCAAGAGGGCTTGCTTCTCTTCGGGATATTTGTATTCATCATAACCAGACAGCAAACAGCACGGAGCGATTCCTGTGCTCTGTGTGGTGACACGAGACTGTCAGTAAGCCTTAGTCTTGTGCCACGCATGTTCTAGTTTCTGTAGGAAACCCAAGAGCAAGATGCGTCCTTGCTCAGAGGTGGCCAGTGCCTTGCAGGCGAGAAGCCGGCATGCACAGTCTCAGGAGCACATTGCCGAATGGGACAGGCACACGCCACGCCAGTGCCAGGAGAGCCCTCATCACAGCTGGGGTTTCTGTACGTGTGCTCCTCCTTCACCACAGTAACTAGTAAACTTATTGCCTTGCAAATGTTCTCTGTTCCCTCAGTGAGCATCACTTCTGAGCAAGGCTTGGGACCTTCTCCCACTGTTTAACCTACAGCGCCCTCACATTTAGCAACATCCAGAGACACCTTAGAGAAGGAGTTTGTTTCTCCTCCTCTGATGCCCCTGAAGATGACTTCTGCGCTAATCCCCACATGTAGTTAGGAGGGAATGGTAATAATCTCCTCTAAAAATGAGGAAGGTCCCTAATGATCACATGATACACTGGAACCTGCTTTGATATTGTTGGTAACATTATAGTGCGGACAGCTGTAACATTGGTAAAATAAAATATGAATGATGGTTTATCTGTTGTTCTTTAACACATACTTCCCATTACTGTTCAGATTTTAGGGGAAAAAAATAGCTGTTTGGTGGTGGAAGGGGCACACAAAATAGAGGTTTAAACAGGTCAGGGAAGAAACTCCAGGGAGATTTTTTGAGAAGTGCAGTAGGGTCCCACTCCCCACCCACCACTGAAGCCCTGGGTCTACACTGGCCAGATTTGGTGAGGCTAGCTCCATCACATGTAAACCTCCCATTGCATGGTCAGGCACCTATAAATAATACCTATAACTGTCTGGCGTTGAGATTCTCAGTATTTGTTCAAAAACACCAGATGCTTAGCTGATTCTCTTTTTAAAGAGTAACCATCTGAATACATTTTCTTTTTTAATCTTTATAGAGTAACTCTTAGTTCATGGGACACAAAGTCTAAAAAGCCATGTAACTGTACCAAATCCCAGTGTCTGAAATTGTAAGTAATCACAAATCCTTCATTATTAAATATGAAATAAGGTTGTTTAGAAGTCAGTCAGTAAGCGGAGCACAGTCTAGACAAACCAGAATGGCTAGCACTGTACATGTCATAGTTAATTCTCAACAACCATGTCCTAATGCTCACTGTACACCAGAACAGCAAGAAAAAAAGCCACTTATGCATGAACCCGGTTCAGATTTTTTGGTATTATCTTGGCCAACTAAGTGATACTGCCCACACTGCAAGTAGTGTAATTTTCTTGGGTTTTGGTTTACGTTCTCTAGCCCTGCAGACTAGTGCCAAACATGCCATTATTGTTGAGCATTAACTGTAACATTTCCAAATCCTATATTGTTAAAATTTGATGAATTGGTTTACTCTATGTTGAAATTTTCTCAGGAAAATTCTCCCCCAGGAGTGCCAACTCCCAGGAGGCCCGGTTAGGGGGGCGGTGGGGCAGATTGTTAAGCGGAATCTTGGGCGGGAAGTAGACAGTGTGGCTGAAACAGGAGGGGCC